TAATAAAAAGAAATATAAAATTATATAAAAATAATTAAAGGACATTTTAAAAAAAATACAATGGACTAGGTTTGTTTATTACACTTCCTTTTTAGGAGACTGTTTTAAAACATTAACAGAAGTAAATTACTAACATGTATTTTAATAGAGAACTGTTAAAATAAAGCTAAATGGTTAGTAAAAAATAGCTTAAATAAAAGTTGATGTATAAAACTTTGTATATGTGATTGATGTTGTGTATCAGTTGATCCAACATCCAATCTATTCAACTGTTCCCCCAAGGCCTTCTCTCCTACTAATCTTATAATAGGCAGAAGAGTCCAACACAGACTCTTTAGAGGGAGGACACCACAACACTTTCTATGTTTGTTTATGAAATTTTGTCACAAAATTATAGGCATTAACCCTGATTTTTAACATTTTCTGAAAATAGAATGTTTATCTCACTCCCAGTTTGTAAAATTGAACTATTATCTAAACAAACAAGAAACCCAACAACACCTGTGAATCGTCAAGTTTCAACAGTTGAATGAATCAAAGTAAGCAAAAAAATTGTTGATAATAAATATAATTCTTTTCATGAGCCTTTTGCAGTAGGTCCATGTTGAATTCGTGTTGGCAGTTACTGCTCCAAGTTAAACTAAAACACACAAGTGTTTGAATTTTGATATGTCTGTCAGCAATTGAATTAAAAACAACAGTCTTTTAGTGGTGGTGATAACAATGATGGTAGAATGAACAGAGTGAAAAAGTAAGCATGATTGAGAAAGAAAGGGTTAAATAGTGGCAGTAGAGATGAAGAAAGCATTGCTTAACTACCAGTTAGATAAGTGCCATACTTGATACATGTTTGGGTGATCATGTCTCTTTCAAGTCATGACTGACTGAGCAGAGAAGATTTTCCTATAGTAGGTTACCATTTCTGTTATAAAATAAAATAAGACATATCCTGGCTGATTTACAAGCAAATAAACTAACATACTCAAGAGCGAGAGCCGAATGTGAACGGGACAAGGCCCCGACACAAAATGACCATTATCGTCATTTATGAATGTTCCCGACACACGAGTTCCGGTTGAAAAATAAAATAATATTTAAAGTGTTTCTATTTTTCGACCAATAAAAATGCTTCCCACCTAATTATACTAATAAAAAAAAACGCCATAAAAGGGGTCACATGGAAGTACAACGGGAAGTCAACAGGAGGCCAGGGAAGAGACCTGTCACGGTCAGGGTGAGCGGTCAGCAGGGGGAGCACCAGCACCAACGCCAACCAGTGTGAACTACTATGAGAGATCAACCCAGATCCGAAGCCAGCTTATGAACTATACCACAAGGTAGCTGTCCCAAACCCGCACGTTCCTGTTGAAATAAATCACGTAAATCTATTTCTGCTGTTGTCGTATTTCTTTCTTGCAACCATACGCTTGTCTATAACATTTCTTTCTGAGGTAGACTGGTTGCCAACCAAGGCTAGAGAACCCAGTCTGTCCTGCTATTCAATCCATAGGTGGAGGGAGAAGAGGTGGCTTCATACCTTTCCCAAGGGTATTTGTGTGTAAGTGAATGTAATAAACTGGAATTCAAACTTGGCTCTCTGATTTCTCATTATTAGATGATATCCATTTCACCACAGCACACATCCAACTAAGCCAAAAAATGCTAAGTATTAGTAGTAGTAATAGCTATCATCGTTTTTTGTTTTTTGTGCACGTATTTAATCTCTTGAGAAAATTTGCTTTTTCGGTGTTCCATCCTGCAAGAAAGATACTTTGGCATGTAGATATGTTCTGGCATTTGAAAATTGTATTGGGTTTGTGTTTTTGCAGTTTGTCACAATATTTGCGGTATTAACTTTGGTTTAAGTCAGGAAATTGTGGAGAGCCATGAACACCCACATCCTGAGGGGATGCAGCACATGGATTAAAGTTTTGTCACAATCCCATAGTATCAAATTTCAGAACCAATTTGCAACTATTTATGAAGTCCTGCCTACTAAGTAGAAGAGCATTGGTACTCACAAGGGAGACGTCAGCTGCTTCTGGGAGCTGGACTAAGAAAAAAGATGAGATGACAACCTAAATAAAGTAACAGAAGAAAAGATTAAATAAATGCAGAAAGCAGAAAATTCTATAGATTGAGATAGATATACAATTATCCTTCTATAGTTGCTTATGAAGGTTCATCGCACTATTTGAGGTATTAAGCCTGATCTGAAGCATTTTCTTAAAGTACCAGATTTATCTCATCTCAGTTTGTAAAACTGAATTATTTTATAAACAAACCAAAAACCCAACATTCCCTGTGAATTGTCAACTTCTTTTGATAGTTGAATGAGTCAAAGTAAACATTTTGTTGACAATAATTGCTTTTATGAACCGAACATAATTGTAATTATGTCACAACTTGTTATCTTGCCCGATTGTCTGATGCACAAAAGAAAATTTTGTATAAGCTTGTTTTGTAAATGTATTCGTTGCAGTTATTTTTTTTTTTTTTTTTGTCATTTAATAAATGTAAATTTCTTTCAAATTTCACATCGGTGTAAGAGTCTTGTGTTTTTCATTTGCATCATTCATAATACTCAGAATAAGAGATCTGACATCTATCTCTTCTCCTCCTCTTCCCTTCCCCCCAAAATATTTTAACAATTCAGGATGAAAAAAATAATTTTAGACTGCTCAATATGTTGGAAAGGAAGAAAACTTCAGCCTACAAGAACTCCTAAATGCCTATAGCAGAGAGTTGGGATTTATCTCTGTCAATAGAATAATCATCCAAATTTGTTCATAATTGATTATTCTTCTTTGTAGAAGGCCAGTTGTAGCAAACTATGTCACCTGCAGATTTTGAACACAGATCGATATTTGCCCATTATGGAATTCCAGAGATGGTAGTCTCAGATAAAGGACCTCAGTTCAACTCTTGGGATTTTCTAGAATTTGCAATAATGTCTGTTCAATCACACAAGATCCCATGCCAACTTTTAAATACACAAGGAAATGAGGAAGTCAAAAGAAGTGTCAAAATTATCAAAACATTGAACAAGGCAGATGTTGCATAGATAGCTTGTTTGAATTATAGTTCAACAAAGAAAGCTTCCTGCAATAGAGCTGTTTTTTTTGGTCCAAGTGAGAGAATGAGAAAAAAAAAATTATTAAGGAGTGAGAACAATAACAGAATAGAAATTAAGAAAACAGAAGATAACAATTGACATTGCATTTACATTTTTGAAAATCAAAATTGACTGGAAAGCAAGAAGCCGGAAGAGAGTTCCACAAGCAAGAAGTGTGAGAGAAGAAACTGTTAGCATAGAACTTACAGTTACATCTAGCCATTTCAACTGCAAAATGGTGAGAGCTCGCTCCAAATATAGTATTACACTTAAATTCATAATGTCTCAGTACCAAAAAGGAAAGCTCATCAGAATAATTACCATGAAAATATTTACTGAAAAGACACAGGTAAGCTATGTTACACTGTTGGGAAAGTAACTAAAGCCAAGATGCCAGGTTGGGACTGATAACATTGCAGCTTCTTTTTATTTTATCAAGAATTCCTAAATATGTAGCAGAAGCACCAGACCAGATGTTTGACTTTTATAAATGTGTCAGAGAGAGAGAGAGAGAGAGAGAGAGAGAGATTCTGGCAAGAAAAACTGTCTAGCATGATACAGTGAATCAACTTTCCTAACAACTTCCTAACTTTCCTCTTTTCAATTCATGTCAGTGGAAACATGTTAGTTCAAGAAGGTGCAATGAGTCAATCTCCTGGAGGTTAGCATCAACCATGCTGATGGGATCAAAAATGGTTCTTTCAGACAATTAAAATAGAGCAGTTTCATTTTGAAGGTGTTAAAATAAAAGAAGTCGTTGGAAAAAGGCTAATGACCAGAGTATGAACTCTTCCAAAAAAGCTTTTGCCTGAAGGAAGCAATGTGCAAAAGTTTCAAGATTTTGATGGAAAACAGAAACAAAAGCAAGAAATTTCAGCAGCAATAATTAGCAAGACATTTACTCCAACTTTTTTATATAAAAATTCCTGCAGATACAGAAGCAGTTGTAGTGAGCCAGTCATCATCATCACCAGTACCCCAGTTCACTGTCCTAGACAACACATACCAAAACAGAGATGTAGAGGAGAAGAAACAGTAAATGGAAGTTGAGTTTAAACCCTCCAAGGCAGTATCTCCTGTTTGGTTGTTTTATGGCATATCAACCTCAGCAGGCCATTTAACGCCAACAAAATTCTGAAATAGATTCATAACAATAGTTTGGTAAAAAAAGGTGTGTATGTATATTTGAACCATTTTTCAATTACTCATATTTTTGAGTATAATCCAACTTTTTTTTTTTTAGGAAATTTACAATCTTGGATGGTTTTATTTCCATGAAAAGTTTTTTTTAAAATTACTCACTTGATTTGGTTTGTTTTGTTTTACAGCATATCAACCTCAATGTGTTATTTAATGCTGAAAACTTTTTATTGCTGGTTATATTTTGTTTTGTTAAAAATCTATTTCTGGTAATAATTTTTTCAAAAAAGTATTGCTGGTAATATTTTTTCTTCAAAAACATGTTGGTAATATTTTTTTCACCTTCAAAAATTTATTGCTGGTAATATTTTTTTTTACAAAGTATTTCTGGTATTAAAACCTATTTTTACACTTACATAGTGTTTTTACCCCAGTTTTGGGGTTAACTATTTGCCCATAGCTGGGACCCTAAAGGTGCTACAACCCTGGGTCAGAGTGGACCTGGGAACATCAGCAATTAAGAGGTGGTTCCACACTCCTCAAAACCGCCTGATCAGAGGCCTTGCTGTTGGATATGGTTTATGGTCATACCCAGGATCGGCAGTATCTTCTGTGCCAGAACAATAACATTAACAACTGGAAAACAACACATGAACTGAATGCCATAGATTTTCAAGCCAATCAGGAAGAGAACCAACAACATTGCTGAAACACTCAGTCAACATCAACTTCTGTTATTAGAGGCTTACGGCTATATCACATTGAAACACAGGTTCTCATACAATCACTGAATCTAAGCAACGTCAAACTGGGTCAGTACCTAGATGGGTGACCACTTGAGAATACCAGGTGCTGTAAGCTCAGATGTGTGAGTGGTGCAATGTATAACAGCTTGCAATTGGAAGATAAGTGGGTGGAGTAATGCTTACATGTGATAGAACTGATTTCTTGAGTTATTACTGCTGAGTAGAAGGTATTATGGTAAAGCTCAGTAACATATGTTTGAATGGCTAAAATAACTTACAAAATTCCTTGTAGGTAACAAGATACAGCACATTTTTTTATTCGGTGATTTTAACTTTTTCTTTTATCTAATCTTCAGTTACTTTTGTACTAGAGTCAAATATTGAAACCATTTTCTTTATAAAGTGATGAATTATTTTTACTAACTACATTATTTAATTCAGAAAGTTTACTTTTTATATCATCTTTATTCTCATTTTTACTCAAGTTGAGAATTCCTGTATTTTAGATCATGACAAGTTATACTGAATGACACATGAGAGAAGGAAAAAAGATTTGCAAATGAATGAAACACTCAAAAGGTTATTTTTTGCTCCTTAAAATATTCATGAATTGAACAGTGATGATCAAACATTACTGTTGGATGAAATGGTATACAATGATGCAAACTTACAATCTAACTTTTAAAAAATTTGAATTTATTATTATTAAACATTGATTTATTTAAAGTCATTATTGCAGGTCTCCAGCAATTTCCCTGAGACAGTAAACTGTTTCCTATCTGAATATGAGTATGTTTGTTTAGAGGCATATCAACTCCTTATAGGTCATGTAATGCCAAAATTTAATATTCTTGGGAGTATTAGTAATTTGTTTGTTAAAAAAATGTATTTCTGCTAATATTTGTTTTACCCTCACAGAAATCTATTGCTGATAATTTTTTTACTATGTAAATGTATTGCAGTTATTTTTACTATTAATTACTTGTCCATACCAGGGACCCAAACAGGTGTTACCAACCTGAGTCAGAGTGGACCTGGGAACAATAGTAACTCAGAGGTGGTTCCATGCTACTCAGAACCTCCTGATCAGAGGCCTTGCTGCCAGATGTATTTTCATCATACCCAGGACAGGTATCCCATCTGGATAGCAAGTGTGAGTATATTAAGGATTTGCTAGATCAGTGGCATTTTTTGTAAATTCCTTAAAATATTCATGAATTGGTCAGTTATCACCCATGCATTATTGTTTGATGAAATGGAATACATAATGTAAATTCTAGGAATTATCATTATTAAACACTGATTTATAAGTAAATAATATAGTCTTCATCTTTGTTACCATCATCAAAAATTTTGGCCATTGTACTTTCTCATCTTCTGCAGGTGTCTATTGCATTTGGTAAACTCCTGGAGATCTTAAACTGGGTATTTCATTCAATATACAGGATTAGGTCTTCTCATATTGCTCATAATACAGGTTTTCAATGTTTACCTATATAAAAAAAAAAATGGTATTCCACAGAGCATTCACAAAGTCTTTTCCAGCATTCCCACTTGTACTTTTAAATATAAATTTGTTTTATAAATGTCGATCTGCACACAAAGAAAAAAATATTTCTTCTTGGTGTATCATCTTTTCAAATTGTTATTCCCTGAAAATGCTGATTTACAAAAAAAGTATATGTTTACTAAGAATAAATTTGTAATTTCATTTATTCACTTGTTTTAATACTAGTATACCACCAGGTCAATTAAGCACAGGATTGTAACCTACTCAACTCGTATGTAAAATCAGCAGAGTCAAATTGGTCATGTGTGCAGGAGCTCCATCTTGAGTGAAGACATAGTGAATTTCAAATATGGCTGACAACCTGGGTAACACATCTCTCTCCAAAATTTGTTCGTCTATGGTGCAAAAATGGGTCAAAAGCATAAAATTTCCTTCAAGTTCAAGGAGTTATATCTTTAGTATTTTCTAAAGATATAGATTGATAAAATTAGTATGTAAAGAAAATTTAATATTTTCTCTTTATAAAAGATACAATTCTTTCTCTTTTGTGATAATTGGTTTTTATTTCAGCTCTCTTTAAATGAGGCCATGTTTCAGTAACAGATGCTTCTTTTTCAGTCTTTTGAAAATAGGTTGCCATATACTATGATTCTAGTTTCTACATTGGCCAAGTCATTGACATTACACCTCCAACCCATACAATAATAAAGTTACTCCAACTAAGAGTAGAAACAATTTTTTTCTGATGGCCTTTCTGGATGACATTGCACAGGTCATGTCAACTTTTGTCTTAAGATGGGACTTAGGTTTAATGCCAGTTTCAAGTGATGGTAGAATCTAGAATGTTCTGAAATATTGGTTATAGAAGCCTATAAAGAAATTCAGACTGAAAATCATTATTAAGAGAGGAAGTGCAACAGGGCTGTTCAAACTGCTCAGAAAGTCTATTTCATTAGTTTCAATAAATGTAGTTTTACTCTATTTTCTATTCAGTCAATGATCAACTAAACATCCTGAGAGATTGTTTACTTGTAAATGAAAGAGGCAAGCATAAGAAAAAACTTGCAATGTAAAAAATGTTACTCATTTCAATTCTGCTGTTTTTCTGGGTTTTTTTAAATTTAAAAATTGAGATTTAAGGCTTTACAATATGTATTTATTTGAAAAATTGACCACTGATTTGTTTTGTATAAGAAGTTTGAAAATTTTGATGTTGTCAGTCCCTTTTGAGCAAGTATAAATTTGCATAAATTTACAAATTTAAAAAAAATCAAATACAAAAGTTTTATTATAGACAAAATCATTGTTTTGTTGAATTCCTTATGAAAAGGTTAGTCAAGTTTCAAAGTTTCAAGTTTTTTTGTTTTTTTTTTTACAGCAGATTCAAATAGGTATATTTTTTACCCTTTTTGCCATACTATCAAATTTGGCTTCTGCCTGTACTTATATGGTGGAATAAGGGTTGTTTTACTGATGAACTCCTGTGAAAAAAAATTGAACTTGATCTCTAAGATACTATGAAACATATTAAGAAGTTTCAATGACTTAAGTGTAGAATTGAAATTTATATGGTCAAAATTGCCTTCCTATGCTATTTTTGTAGGTTTTAGAACAGAATGTGATTCCCAACCTTGCTTAGGCTGGTTTTATCTAATAGTTATTAATTACATTAGTATTATCTTTCTTTTATGACATTACATTCATATTTTTTCACTTATTTGAAGCATGCATATTAACATATACACTGATAAAATGGGCTTTTGGCCCAATCGCACTCAAGACAAAAAAATACAACAAATTTTGTATGGTAATAATTTGGTTGCTAATTGATCTAGCAAGATAGATTTGGTAGCATTTTTTATGTTCTGTCAAGTTCTATATGCCTACATGAAAAGGTGTTAGATATATTGAAAATAAAAAATAGTTTGGGATACCTACTCATAATTTTACTGCATGTACAGGAATAGCTCAATTAATGCATTTTCAATTAGTGTGCCAAAGTTTTTATATAACAAAATTTTATTAGTGCATACATAATACTTGATTATTGTGGTAAAACATTATTCAGTTTAACCATAGTAATTGAAAATTGTCTTTTTTTCAGTTACCAATGTACACATTATACACACTAATCAAAGGATTCCTGGACTAGCATGTGTTTCTTCAGTATAGAACCATGTGAAATGGTATACACTGTTAACTGACTAAGGGTTGTCACCAGTGTGAATTCGCATATGTACTTTCAAATTTGAAGACTGTGAAAATGCTGATCCACACACCTCACAAGAAAATGGTTTCTCTCCTGTATGTATTCGCATATGTTTTTTTAAACTAGAACATTCTGTAAATGCTGATCCACATACTTGACAGGAAAATGGTTTTTCCCCAGTGTGTATTCGCATGTGTTTTTTTAAATGTGAATTCCGTGAAAATGCTGATCCACACATTTGACAAGGAAATGGTTTTAATCCAGTATGTATTTGCATATGGTCTTTTAAATCAGAATTCCGTGAAAAAACAGAGGTACACACAGTGCAAGAATAAGGCTTCTCTCCAGTGTGTGTCCGCAAGTGCACTTTCAAATGTGAATTCCATAAAAATGCTGATCCACACACATCACAAGCATATGGTTTCTCTCCACTGTGTATTCTCATGTGATTTTTTAATGAAGAACTGATTGAAAATGCTGATCCACATTCTTGACAAGAAAATGGTTTCTCTCCTGTATGTATTTTCATGTGGTTTTTTAAATGTGAATTCTGTGAAAATGTTGATCCACAAACAGAACAAGAATAAGGTTTCTCTCCTGTGTGTGTTCGCATATGTACTTTTAAATATGAATTCTGTGCGAATACTGATCCACAGACGTCACAAGGATATGTTTTCTCTCCAGTGTGTATTCGTATATGATTTTTTAAATGAGAAGTCTGTGAAAATGATGATCCACACACATCACAAGAATATGGTTTCTCTCCAGTGTGTATCCGTATATGCTTCTTTAATGTGGAACTGTCTGTAAATGCTGATCCACATACTTGACAAGAAAATGGTTTCTCTGCAGCATGTGCTTCCATGTTGCATTTCAAATTGAGACTCATTGATTTTACTGCATGTACAGGAATAGCTCAATTAATGCATTTTCAATTAGTGTGCCAAAATTTTTATATAACAAAATTTTATTAGTGCATACATAATACTTGATTATTGTGGTAAAACATTATTCAGTTTAACCATAGTAATTGAAAATTGTCTTTTTTATAGTTACCAATGTACACATTATCCACACTAATCAAAGGATTCCTGGACTAGCATGTATTTCTTCAGTATAGAACTATGTGAAATGGTATACACTGTTAACTGACTAAGGGTTGTCACCAGTGTGAATTCGCATGTGTACTTTCAAATTTGAAGACTGTGAAAATGTGGATCAACACATCTCGCCAATTTGAAATGAAATGAGATAGTCTCCAGTGTCTTTACATGGTGCTTGGAAAAGGGTATTTAGTAAAAATGCTTGTGTACAACTCTGGCACAAAATATGTTGGTTTCCTTTTTGTAATTATGACTAAAAATTAATTACATAAAAACACAGATCCACACATT